TAGATAGATAGATAGATAGATAGATAGATAGATAGATAGATAGATAGATGTTATGCTGGAACTCTGCTACTGACCTGCATTCTCTCAGCCTCTATGAATTAAAAACAAAGTACTAACAATAAGATCTTTATATGTAAATATAAGTAATATTAAAGTTTTTAAAAAATACCTTTCAAACCAAAAGAAAAATTTGTAGAGAAGAGTGACAGTGTCATATACATTTTATATAGGTCCATTAGGACTGGCACAACAGGAATCAACTTGGTTCTGGTGTCTGACTCTGACATGTGGGAAACCTCAGTTTGCACTTGTAGGCAGGGGAGAGTGGAGACATTAAACAGCCCTTCCCTGTGCTCATAGTGTGACCTGAGATCTCCGAGATATCCTGTTGTTTTGCTTTTACTTGTTAAAGTAAAAATGGCATTCCCCTTATAAAGCTACCATACATCAAATAAGAGTAAATGTCTCTGTCACAGTGTCTTGGAAATGCCATTCAGCAGACACTCTCCCTGTTCTTATCACTTTGTAAAAATGTTTAGGTATTTTCCTCTCAGTACAATTTTTAATTTGAAATATTGGTAGTCTGGTAATAGGTTTATTCCCTTATGCTGACTCTTAGCAAATAAGCAAGTTCATAATAAAAATCCTTTCTATACTTCTTCTTTCAGGTATAGACTAAATACCCAATAGTATTTGAGGGAAAAATAATGTCTTGCTGCTGTTTTGATAGCTATGGAGTGGGAAAAGATGTCATTACACTTGAACCAAATGATTTGATTTTTATTTTTTCCGGAGGAGTCTTTACTTCAACGTATTTCTTCCAGTGCTTATTACATTTACAGAAAGATTAAAAGACACAGTGTGAAATACTTGTATCATGCTAATTTTAGCAACATTTAAGTAAATGTTAAATTCACATCTCAAAGTAGTTGATATTTTGAGAAGAGAAAATTCCATTATTGCACCTTTTAGGAACACGGAACTGGAAAATGGCATTTTTCAAAAGTTTTCAGCAGAGTCTGCCTTCAGTGTCCTCCTTGGTAGACACAATCAGTAGTGCCGTAGAAGATTTGAGCACTGCAGTTGGGGAAGTCAGCTATGCCATAACTGACTCAGTCGCTGGGCAGGTGGCAAATATGATGCATGGCTTTTGCCCAGAGGAGGAAAGCTGCCCAGCAGAACAGGCTACAGGGTCTTCTGAAGGAAAAAATGCAGTATTGCAGGATACCAACAAAAACATTGCTTGTCAGAAAACACACTCTGACTTAGAGCACGAGGCAAAGCAAATAACCTGGTGCAGCAGTGGAGCTCCACAAAAGCAAGAAGAAATTCATGAGCAGGGGGTTAATGTTCACGATGGGCAGTGGTTGCCCACAGAGTACCAGGAAACTGGAGAGGCTGGTGGCGCTGCTTTGAGAGGCCTCATGAGTGACGGGCTGTCATCCGTCAAGCAGAGCATGAGGGCCTCACCCTCTTGTCATGCACTGGAATGCACTGACAGATGTGAAACAGCTGGAATTGGAAGCTCCACAAATGCTAAGCCTGATTTAAAGGAGGTAAGTTATCAAGTGAATGGAAGTCTGAACACCAGTGGACAAAACATTCTGTCTGAGCAGAGCTGCAAAGCCACAGGTAACCCTAAAGCCAGATCGCAGCATGCACCCATGGGAAGAGAGCAAGAGGACTTGAGGGACTTCACTAAAAATAAACATTTTACCGATTTAAAATATTCTGACCATGTAGAAGAGGCTAAAGAACAGAATAAGCATGCTGGATTCAAAGGGAATGAATGTTCAGGAAAGAAGTCTTCTCCAGAAGATACCACAAGAAGTAACAGGTACAGGGCACGGAAGTCCACTGTGGAGGAGTACACAGGTTCAGTTCCACCAGCAAATTGTAAAAATAAGTTTCCTGGGAAAATCAAAGAAAAAATGAATCCAGCAAAATACTACAAAGTAAAAGGAGACATAAAAGCAAAAAAAAACGACGCTAACTCTGCTAAGAGAGGAACAGCAAAGAGTAAAGTTGGCAAATATTCTAAAATATTACCAGAAAAAGGTGAGGTCTCCTAATGTTGGTTTGAGTGGTTAAATTTTCTCTTGATTTAAAACTAAAAAAACATCTAAATTTCTCAACTTTTTTTTCCTATGTCTATATATCTAGTTTAAATTTTTCTTGAATCTTCTTACTTAGAGATATTTTTAGAGACATTAAGATTTTTTTCAGCAATTTTTAGATAGTTTATGGTACTTTACATTGCCAGGTAGTGCCTGTGACCCCTACAGTATCGGAGGCCTCTTCAGCAGCCCTAATGCTTCTCTTTCTCTTCTGTGTTCTTGTGACTAGAATTCCACTGTGCAGCTCTACTTGCCTGAACCTCATCATACAGCCCAGACTGGCCCTGAGCCGGAGATACCCCTGCCTAAGCCTTCACTCACTGAGACTAGGGGTGTAAACCACCACACACTCTTCCTAGTTTTAGTTACAGTTTATTTTAATGCTAGAAATTTCATGTGTAGTATAATTGAAACTTGTTTGGTATAATACATTTTTAAACATTTGTCTTATTTTGTAACTAAATCTTGAGTTGGTTACATAACATTGCTCTGCACACATACCCATGAGGATCTATGCAAAATATTTTATATTTTTCTTGAAACCAGTTGCTCCTGTATTGTTAAATAACATGCTTCTGGATATGTCTCTATTCATTTAGCTATACCTTAAAACTTTCATGAGACTGCTACAGTTTGTAGTGACTGTACATGAGCAATGCATTATTATTTATGAGTCCTTCTTTATGTAGAATTAAGATTGTAAGTATAGTGTTCAGCTACAATATTTGTGACAGTTTTCAAAGCATCATTGCAGTGCATACTGCTGACAGTTGCTTCCAGTATTTCTTTATCACTTCTTCACTGGTGATCTGATTAGAAGGTCCCTAAAATACTGGCATTTGTTTATCAAATGTAGCTTTCTATAAGCTTAAATTCTCATTAATATAAAAACTGGAGTAGTAGCCATGAAGGTAATGGAAGACTTAATTTTGCTATATGATTTCATTCATCTGTAAGAGAGCTCTGCTCTGAACAGTGAGCTTTTAACTGTTTGCATAGAAGCTCATCCCAGACTGATGGGCTAATTAAAAAAAAATACAATGTGAAGATGTGTTCATTGTAGGGTTCATTCTCATTGTAGCTGTGATTCCTTGGGCTTCAGTGGCCTTCTGTAGTTCTGGCAGCCTTCCTACTTATGAAGAAACAAAAGTAACAGATCCTTTAGAGAATGACAGTGGGATGCTACCAGGAGGAAATAGAGTTGCAGCGGCACTGCAAGATTTCACTCTGTTATCTCAGGGAACCAAAGTCTCTCAAGTATCCCAGAGAAGAGTCCAATCCTGACCTTAATTAGCCCCAGGAGCAAACTGCAAGGGTTTGGCCCGTATGTTAAACTTTCCATTTAGTTGTACTGTCATGTTCCTAGCATCAGTGTAGTAGGCTTGCACGTGGGAGATTTAAACTAAGAAATAAAGAACTGTTTCTCTGATTTTGTGGGTAAGGCATTCCAAACAGAGGAAGTTTGGCTGCAAAGGGGTTGCAAGAGGGTACCTCCTTGAGGAGCTCACCCAGGGTTCCTGCTGCCTTAGGCCTCATTCTGGTGTTTCACAAGACATCCACCCTCCGAGCTGGGTGTCAGAAGGGCTGGGTTTAGTTACCATAGTCTTGTCTAGTCAGATCGTTGGAGATGGTGAAGTGGGGTGTCTGCATTGTTCAGGGTTAACCAGTCACGTATGACTGTGCACACTGTAAGTGTGACTGGAAACTGAGGAGGTTGGATGGAATCTGTTCAGATACCATGAGTAATGAACTCTTAACTTCTCTACTGCTCCTTAGAGAGTGTAAGCTTTATATTTCTTAAAAGGTTAGAATTTAGTTAGATTAAATAAAATTTTCCTATTTTAACTTTTCAATGGTTGTGTTAGAAGTTTGATGTATATCCTTCTATCTATATTTCTATCTATATTTCTACTATCTGTATAGACTGCATGTTGAAGTATGTATAATATCTATCAAATAAAAATACACTTGCACCTTCTACTCTTTCCTTGTGAGCTGTAGGCATACCCACTCATTTTATGGGCTGTATAGCCCTAGTGTGTGTGTTGAATGGATGTGCTCTCACTTGCCTAACCACACACAGCCCAATGACAGGCATTTGTTTATATATTTGTTTTCTTTTGCTATCAACATATTTCAAAAACATATTTTTATGCTCGCTTAGTTAGAAATGGACTCAGCAAGTTCCTAGAAATGGAACTTTCAGAGACCACACAAAGTTTGATGTTGGATTTTTGATGTTTTCTCTGTAGAAAGCTTGTACCAGTTGCAACCCCAGTGTGCCTGTGTCCTCCCTCTTCCCTGTCTCGCTGTTAGTCTAAAGCATTTCTAGTTCTGGAGATATGGACCAGAAATATAACATTCTTTTACTCCAGTCCATAAGAACTGACAGCACTTATAATTCCATTTGTATATGACAGATCCTTTACAAAATTGTGCATCGAGACAACTATACTTTCCTTTGTATCTGAAAAGGTTATGCACCCCTGTGACTAAGATTATTTGTATGATTAGAATAGACAGTGTGACATTTTCTAATAACTTGCGTGAAAAATACATTTTCTAAAGCTAAAATTTGGGAAAGTATGTACAAACACACATTAATGTTATACTTCAAATTCAGTTTAAAGGATTGTCAAGAGTTTCAGTAATTTTAGGGATTCTAATTAGTTTCACCCTGTGTGTATGTACCCTCACACGTTTGTGTTTGTATGTATATGAAATAAACTCATTTTACTAAGTTTCCATATTTAGGTATATTAAAATTATAATTTCTTCTCACTTTTATCCAAATAGATAATTCCTATTTGGACAGAGATGAGCCTGGTTCATCCTCTGAAAGTGAAGATGAGGCACTGGGTAAATACCATGAGGCCTTGTCCAGAACACATACTTCCAGGTGGCCCCTGGTAGACTCTAGACACAAGAACTACGCCTGGGAAACGAGGCAGAAGTACAGCCCTCTGTCTGCAGAGTATGACGGGTACAGCAGCGAAGCATCCATGGAGGACGGTAAGAAAGTTCTTTTTTTTTTTTTTTTTTTAATAAAACACTATTCAGGTGGATGCACACTGAGAGGAGCAGTTCCGAGTTCTGTTTGAGTGTAACCCAAATAGAAAGTTTGGGCTGCCGAGAACTAGCTCTAAATCCCCAGAAGCACAAGCCAGACAGTCGAGTCAGTGTTGTCACTGGAGCTCTTACGTGCAGAGGACGCGCTGACAGCAGTGAGGTGAGGCAGGATGTGCCATCCTAAGGTGCAGGCATCTGCCTGCGACAAAAGCCAGCAGGGTCTGAGTGGGCACAGCGTTCAGCACAGCCTGTCTGGGGACGAGCAGTGCTGTGCTATATTATGCTGTTTCAAAGCAATACAAGTGATTTTCAAGGGTTTCCAGTATTTTGTTACTAATTGATTTCACTTTTTGCTGACATGGACTTCAGAACAAAATCTATGCAGAAGATACAAAGTTTGAGATTGAACAGAGGATTGCCAGTCAGTCAGGCTGTCTGGGCTGAGCTCTCAGGACGTCAGTCCTGCCTCCCAGTGCTGTGTTTTCAGGCCACACAGCCACGTGTGTGCTGGGGATTTGAGTCCGGTTCTTAGGCTCTCACGGGAAGCTCAGCCTCCCCGAGTCATCTCCTACATTGTCACATTTAACATTTACCACAGTTTAGCGGAAGCTAAGACTATCCTAGCATCATAGGTAGAATTGAGTCTTAACCTAAAGTCACACAGTGAGTTACTGAAAATTGACCCATTTGGGTCCGAGGCCAAGTTAATCCCCTGCTCTGGCATTATGGCCCCTTCACACAGGCAGCATGCATGACAGGTGCTCTACAAACAAATGAGGGTTCAGTGGCTCGTTTGTCATCATGTTTCTCCTCTAGGTGGCACATCCCTGTAATGCCAGCACTTGGGAGGCAGAGGCAGGTGGATCTCTGTGAGTGTGAGACCAGCGTGGTCTACAGAGTGAGCGCCAGGGCAGCCAAGGCTACACAGAGAAACCCTTTCTCAACCTCCCTCTGACCATTTTTCCCCCCTTAGGAAAGTAAACATTAAAATCATTTATCAAATTTCTTTTGTTCTCAATTTTTCTTTTATTATATCCTTAAAGCTAAAAACATTTTGTAACCTGTCTGCCTTATTTTAGAAGGATCAGATTCCAATCCACTTTTTAGATGTCTGATTATTTAGTGATATGAGCCAACACCTGGAGCTCTACTCAAGCTAATTAATACTTCCCATTTTTATATTGAATAGTAGAGTTCTAGTTAAGAAAATTGTTTATAACATTTCATTCGTAGTTTACCAAAGCTATTCCCATACATTATAAAAACTTTTCCCTGAGGGGATGAGAGGGCGAGCACCTTGTCAGGCGCTGCTGGTTTCTCGCATGTCTGTTCCCGTTCTTTCCTGTTTGAACTGGGTTATTTGGAGGTCTCTCTGTATTCTGGGTATGGATTCCATAGTAAAAATATGCAATTATCTTCTCTCATGGAGTAGCTTACATTTCTACTTGGGCATCTTTGGATTTTGTGTTGTCTAGTGTGTCTCCTGTCTCCTCTTTCCCTTCTGTTGCCTTTGTCTTTGCTGTAATGTCTAAAAGACGTGCCAGATCTAGAACTGTGAACTTTACCCCTCTTTTTATTTAAGAATTTAATAGTTTTGCATATGATATTACATGATATGCAGGAAGATGTTTGGTGTAGCAGCACCATGTGCTGAGAACACTCATTTCCCCATTGATGATGTCTGTGCACTTGTCAACAGTTATTTGACCATACACATGATTTCTGAACCTTAATCTTAATCCATGAGTATGTACAGTTGTCTTTACCCAGCACCATACTATTTGATTTCTATAGCTTCATAGTAGGTTTTGAAACTGGGAAGCAGGAAACATTTAGTTTTGCTTTTATTTTTAAGAGATGAAGGTCATTTGGGATTCTGTATATCCTACATGTATATGTATGAAAGCCATCATTTGCAGTTTATAGAAAAATATCTATGTTATCTGTAGATCGCCTTGGGTTTTATTAGCATCCTTACCAATATTAAATGCTGTAAACATGGTGTATCTTTTCATTTATTTATGTCTTTAATTTTATTTGGGAAATTTTTTGTACTTTTTATTGTAAGATTTTTACCTCCTTAAATTAATTCCCCAGTATTAAAACATTCCTTATTATTAAAATTCTTCCTTGTACTATTGCAAATAGACTTGTTTTCTTAATTTCCTTTCCTAGTTGCTTATCATTAGTGTACAGAGTTGCAATTTTTTGAGTATTGGTCTTGTATTCTGTTTTATTACTGAAATTATTCATTCTAATAGTATTTTATAATGTGTGGAACCTGCAGGGTTTTTATATAGACTGTAAGACCATTTGTGAACAAAACATTTTACTTCTTGTTTTCCTTAGTAGATGCCCTGCACATACTTTTTTCTTAGCTTTTCTTAATCACTCTAGTTAGTTACTCCAGATTGAGTAGGTGTGGCAAAAGGCAGGCCTCATTTCCAAACTTGTAGTCTCTGTCACTGAGTGGTCGAAGTGGGCTTTTCCTGCTTGGCTTTATGTTGAGATAGTTTTTACTCTTCCTAGTATGTTGAATGTTTTTATCATGGAAAAGTACTCAATTTTGTCAAGTGCTTTTTCTAAATCAATTGAAATTATCTATTTTGAGATGTAGGTGTATTATCCTTTCCATTGCTATGATGAAATAAAATACCCATAAAAACAATTTTAAAGGGGAAAGTTTTGTTTTGACCCATAATTACAGAAGCTCTGTCATCACTTGGCTCCATCTCTGGGTTTGTTTTGAGGCAGAGCAACATGGGAGAGAAGCATGGCCTCATCGAAGCTTTGATGACAACATACACCCTTCCAAGGCACACCCAGTGTCTGTCTTCTAGTAGCCAATCTCATTGATGGCCCCAAGGTATAAACTGACTGATGTTGATCCACTGATGAGGTTAGAACACTTATGAACCAGTCACTTTCCAAAAGTCCGTTATAGGGCATCCAGTCCTATTATATACATGACCTTACACAAATCATAACTGTAGTTTCCCTTCATTCTGATAGCATGGTTTCTTAAATTGATTGAACTATCTTTGCATTCTGGGAACTTGGTTATTAAGTTAAATTCTTTTAATTCTGTTGGCTGGTATTTTGTTGAAGATTTTGACACCAGTATTCACAAAGGGTATTAGTTTGCAGTGTTGTGGTATAGCTGTCCTTTTCTGGCTTTGAGACCAAAATAGTGCTTACATAACAGAATGATGGGCTGCTTTTAACGCTTCAATTTTCTGGAAAAGTTTGAGAATGATTAATATTAAATCTTCTTTAAATGTCTGGCAGAAATGTATTGATTAGGGTGCTGTGCAGCTAGCAGGAAATGTCTGCGTAGAAGTCCACCCAGAGGATAATGCTAGCGCGGGAGGAAGGGAGAGCTCACCAGGCAGAGTAAAGTTTTGCCCACTCTGCGTTACTTCCTAGTGTTTCTTTGTGTGTGTGTATGTGGGAGTGGTGCTGTATGCACACATGTTGGGAAGCATATGTACCCTTGCACGCTTGTGGAAGTCAGAAGAGGACCTCAAGAGTAAGAGGACTCTTACTCTATCAGTCTCTACCGTATTCCTCTGGGACAGGCCCCTTCACTGAACAACACACCGTGCTGTTGGTCAACAAGCCCCCGCACTGCTGTCTCTGCCCTTGAAGCACTGGGGTTGCAGGTGCACAGGTGGCCACACTCAACCTTGAATGTGCATGATGGGAGCTGGACACACTGCAGATGCGCTTGGATAGGTGTGCAAGAGACACACACAGACCACCACAATTACAGGGAAGGGGAGCTTGACTCTGTTGCTGTGCTTCCTCGGTCTGAATCAAGCTCTACTACTTTCATGCTTCAGTTTCCTCACATGATAAGTGGATACAGTGATTAGTGATGTCCAGGCACATTGATACCCATTTATGTTGCTAGTCATTGAAAAGTATTCAATAAGAGCCCTATTTTTATCAATAAAATTAATATTCTTTTCTGTCTTTGGCTGGGCATGCAATAAGTTTGTGGAATTCAGAGTTTCAAAAGGGAATGCCCTATTCAGGGCATGTTCCCAGCCCCAAATCTATAGTTAATCTCCCTTCTTGTGGGAGTGCCTGCTGGCACCCTGGAAACGGAGCTTTGGGAGACTCCACCTCATCTTTCTTTCACTTACTTCTGTTTAACCTGCATTGGCCAGAGGTGCTACTGGGGGGAACTCAGGGAAGGAATTAGCCAGCGGCCACATCTTGAGGAGGCCAGATAGGCCTGAGTGCTAAGGTAGCCCCAATGCACCTAAAGGAGCTAGTGAGAAGGCCAGCTCTTGAGTCTTTGTTGTATAAAAGAATGGGATTTATAGTGTTCCTTGCTTAGCTGTGACATCCCTGAGAGCATTTACAAACGAAAGTAAAGTGGTGCTGTATCAGCCCCTGAGCTAATTACTGATTTTGGGTTGCTTATTAGCAAAACAAGGGAACTGTACATTATGTGTGGTTTGAATGAAAATGTCCCTATTGACTCATTTCTTTGAACATTTGAACAGTTGGTGACATTATTTGAAGAGTGTAGGAAGAGTTGCCTGGCTGGAGGAAATATGTCACTAGAGGCGGGCTTTGAGAGTGTAAAGGCAAGAGCCCCTCCAGTTTGCTCCCTCTGTGTTGTGTTTGGGTTCAAAATGCGAACTCCTAGCGTCCTGTCTCAGCCACCATCCCTGCTGCTGCCTCCACTTCGCCATGTGGACTCCAACTCTCTGCTGTCAGCTTCTGTCAGTTGTCTTGGTCCTTGTATTTTATCACAGCAGCAGAAAGTAGCTAACACAAACTATAACAACCAAAGTTTTCCTAGAGGCAAGAGGAGTGTAGGACAGGAGGTGATGGTGACTGTAGTGCATGAATCTTATGACTGTATTGAGAGTTGCCTTGTATATGTCAGGTGAGAAAGTCATGGTGTACAGTAAATCTATTCTGTTTCT